AGCATGTGGCAGGGTTTTCTTTCCTAAAGACTGAATAATATTTCATTGTATATATAGACCACATTGTTTTTATCCATTCATCTGTCAATGGACATTGGGTAGCTTCCGCTTCTTGGTTATTGTAAATGAAGCTGCTGTGAACACGGGTGTGCAGTCATTATCTTCCAGACCCTGCTTTCAGTTTTATGGGATATAAGCCCAGAAGTGATGGACCACGTGGTAGTCTTATTTTTAATTTTTTGAGACCCACCATACTGTTTTCTGTGGCAATTGCATCATTTTATAATCCCATCAGCAGTGCACAAGGGTTAATTCTTTTAATTCTAACTTTCAGAGTAAAGAGTTGATATATTCAACTCGAATGGTGGCAAATAAATTTTTTTCTGTTTTTTCACATCAAATACCACGCATGAGTGGATTTTCACTTATCCAATAGTTTACACTGGTGATGTTTTGACATAATAAGCAAGATATGTTTGGTTTTTGTCCATGGTTCTTGGAAAAGCTCTGGAGCGATAAAAGTGAAAGGAGAGTCTTTGTTATTCATAAGAAGCTCCTTTCAATAACAACCGAGTTTATGTTAATGAGGTGACTTTTGGAAAGCCACTAAAGTTAGGGGCACTGGTTGTCAGGGGAACCAACCATGTGATTAGAGCTGGAACTTTCAGCCTCAATACTCCCCCACCCTCACCCCAACCCCCAACCTCCAGAGAAGGGGGATGGGTTAGAGATTGAGTTTCATCTCTAAAACAATGTCGAATGGTTTAATGAATCATGCCTAGTAATGAAGGTGCGCAGTCATGTCTGACTCTGCGACCCCACGGACTGTAACCTGCCAGGCTCCTCTGTCCATAGAAGTTTCCAGGCAAGAATACTGGAGTGGGTTGCCATTTCCTACTCCAGGGTATCTTCCCGACCCAGGGATCAAACCCCGGTCTTCTGTGTCTCCTGCATGGGCAGGCAGACAGACTCTTTACCACTGCGCCTCCTGGGAAGTCCCTGCCTAGTCATCAACCTGACATAAAACCATAGCCAGAGGGGGTTCAGATGCCTCCAGATTGCTGGGTACGTGGAGTACTGTGTCCTGTGCCTCTCTTCCTTCTGGCCGATCCTGAGATCCTGAGTTGTATCCTTTCATAATAAACCAGTAATCTAGTAAGTAAGCTTTTCCTGATTTGTATGAGTCCTTCTAGCAAATTACTGAGCCCAAGGAGGGGTCATGGGAACCCCCAATTAACAGCCAGTCGGTTGGAAGTCGGGGAGGCCCGGACTTGCAATTGGCTTCTGGGTAGGAGACAGTCTTATGGGATGGAGCCCTTTTCACCTGTGGAGTCCGTGCTGACTCCAGGCAGTTGGTGTCAGAAGTGCTTGGTTGTGAAAAGCCCACACACCTGGTTCGAGAGCCTTTTATGTGTATTGTGAGCAGCAGTGTACAGGCGGCAAGGGAGTTTTTCCTTTTTCACAATAATTGGTCAGTGGGAGGTCTTTTCAAACCAGTTCCTTTGAACTTTGAAACCCCCCTTGCAGTCCTCCTTGCTTTTTGGGACAAACTGGTGTAGTTCCACTTAGATTTCTGGATTAGCCCTTTCTCTGCAAGCAGCCCTGGTTCCTTTTGGGAGGGAAGATTAAGATTTGGGTGCTACATGTGCTCTTAGCTACAGGGGGCCAGCCATTGCTTCTGGGTCCTTCCGAAGGACATAGCTGGGACTTTTTTCTTATTTTTAAATCATGAGCTCATGTCGATATTTCCAATTCAAATTTAAAATGAGTTTTCTGTGTTTCTTTCCTCTCTATACTTCTGGTTTTGTATTTCCTCCCTGTCTTACACAAGAGCATATACCCTGCACTGTTCAGCACCTTGCCCTTTTTCATTTTATTTCTCCTGAGGACCATTCCAAATCTGGTCACAGAGACCTTTTTTATTCTTTATGGTTCAAAGGACCTTGATTTTTTTAATTATAAAGATTTTATTTTTTGGTCACAAGGCCTGTGTGTGGGATGAATCTGCGCCCCCTGCAGTGGAAGTGTGGAATCTTAACACTGGACCACCAGAGAAGTCCCTGGAGATCTTCAACATGCATAAAGGCGTTCCTCCTCAGCAGGGAGAACACCCACACCCTCTCTCTGCAGGTGTGCATCTCTGCCTTGCTCCCCTCTTAAATAAAAATAAACAGACTGTTTCTCTGCATGCACCTCCCACACCCTGATTTAAAAAAAAAAGAACAAAAAAACCCTCATGCATAAAATCAGAGAGTACAGGGGCCTCCCTGGAAGCCTGATCTAGTGGTTAAGACTCAGTGCTCCTAAGGCAGGGGCCACGGGTTTAACCCTTGATCAGGGAACTAAGATCCTGCATGCTGCGAGGTGTGGCCAAAAAACACCCCCTCCATCTCTCCCATCACCGGGGCTCTCATCTCACGCCGGGCATTTGGAACAGTGCTGTTGGACGGTGTGGACAGATGCTGCAAGGCAGTAGTATTACCTGAGATGCAAAAAAGAGTAGGCGCACCTAAGAGCTGTGTCTTCAAAGGGTCAGTGCTAAGGTTGGGAAGAGCCAAGCGCGAGGGTGTGGGGGAGGGAGCAGGAGGGTGAAGGCTGGAGCGGTGATGAGAATGCTGGTGGCCTTGCCTGCCTGGCTGAAGTGGGCTCTTCCGTGGTCAGCGGGAGACCACGTGACTTGGTAAGAGCTGGGGGCAGGAAGATGCTGGCCAGACTGGAGCCTGGATGGAAGAGTGAGTCAACAGATGAGGTGGGGAGCAACTGGGGGGCTGGGGCAGCAGCGACCATGACGCGGACGGGTTCCTGAAGTGACCCACAGCGTGCGGGGAGAGCACGGGGGTCCAGAGTGCAGGCAGTGAGCCCGGGGCAATCACAATGTCCTCACCCGAGATGGGGACCCTGGGGAGAGGGCGGGCGGGACTGGAGTGCAGCTTGAACAGGCTGTGAGCAGGGACAGGGCACTTTGGGACAGCCAGCCTTCAGGGAAGGCAGAGAACCTGCCCCTGTGGCTCCCTCAGTGGGACCAAGGTGGGCAGGCACTAAACCTGATTCACAGGAGTTAACCGAAATTCAGCCGGACTGAAGACCTTCACCCATTCACCAGGCTAGTGAGCGCAACAGCTCTAACTCTAGGCTGTCCAACTCCCAGGCTTCTCTCCCCAGGGCCCTTGTGACTGGGGCCCCGAGGGGGAAGAGCCACCACTGCTCCAACCGGACAGCTCGGTGGCAGGTCTGGGAGTGCCTGGGGGACTGTTGAAGGCCGTGACCCAGGCTGATTTTATCATCTCTAGATGGTGCTTCCCTCCTTGGTCTAAAACAAGGAGCTGGACTGACTGCAACAACAAGCCTGTGTAGAGTACTCTATAAATAATGTATCCCTGGTGGCTCAGTGGTAAAGAACTCGCCTGCTAATGCAGGAGACACAAGTTCAACCCCTGGGTCGGGAAGATCCCCTGGAGAACAAAATGGCAACCCACTCCATTATTCTTGCCTGGGAACCCCATGGACAGAGGAGCCTGGTGGGCTACAGTCTGTGGGGTTGCAAAGAGTCGGACATGACTGAGCAACAGCGATGCATAAATCATCTCGTAGATTCCTCACGACCGGCTCAAGAAGCTTTATTACCATGATTTGACAGAGAAGACTTACAGAGCAAAGGGCCTGAGACACACACGACTCAAAACACAATTTCTTTTAACCTGGGCTCCAGAGCGGAGGTGCTGACTCCGAGGTCCCAGCTGCCGCCACACGAGCCCCCTGGGGCCCTGGCGGAGGCTGCAGGCGGGAAGGCCTCTCTCCAGGGCTGCGAAATTCCTCAAAAGACAGGGAGACCTGACCTCTTCTGCAGCTGAGGATGTGTTTGTGGGGAGGGGGCAGGGGTGGCTCCATCTCTACTCTGGGGGCCACAGGGCTGGGTTGTTACACTCTCCCAGTCAGGCACCAGCATCCGGTGCCTCCTGGGGACCACTTTTCTGAACCCCTGCCCGCTCTGGGGAAGCAGGTCAGCTCTTCACAGCCCGGCTTCCTTCTCTGACGCGCGGCCCTTCCGCTGGCAGGGAGAGAGCTGCCTAAGAGCAGGAAAAGCACTCTTTCCCTCCGGACTCGGGACTCCAGGCCTGGCATAGGCTGGGAAATCTGTTCTGGCCCCAGAGGAGCCCCGAGGCCACTGGCGCTGCCCGAGGGCTGCTGTGGGGCAGAGATAACAGGCGCAGGAAGGGTGGGGTGGCGGATCCTCCCAGGAGCCGGGCTTTACGTAAACAATGAGCGGCTGCCCAGCCAGGCCAGGAGGTGATTCATCTCCCCACTGTGACCTGCCCCTTCCCTGCATGGGCCAGGGGTCAGCCCCAGCCCTTCTGGTGACTGGTGAGACTTCAAAGGCCAGGGTGTGTCCAAGAGGTGGTTGGAGGAGGGCTCAATTGCACCCAGGGGAGGACAAGCTGGGCTCCTGCCTGACAACTGGTGGGGTTCAGAGCTGCAGTACCAGGGTAGCGGGAGCCCAGGCCTTCCCCCCTCTCAGGACTCCTGCCTGCCCGCGCCAAGAGGCATTCACTGGGAATGACTGAGGTGACTTCTCGGGCCACCCCCTCTGAGCCGGGCCGAAGGCTGTGGTCACCCTGCTGTCAACCCTGAGGTGAGGATCCCAACAGAGAAGATGAGAGGACACTTGAGTTTTCACATTTGCCTGAAAAACAGACTGTAGAAGAGACCAGGGCACCCGAGACGCCGAGATGTGAGGACGCGGCACTTTAATAGGGCGCAGACTCCGTGGCGGGGGCACCGTCCAGAGAGCCCTGCTCCTTTGCAGCCCTGCTTCTTCCAGGTCAAACGCCACCCGGAGCTCCTCGCAGGGAGGAGGGATGGGGAACGGGTCCCAGTCCTGAAATATACAATGTGGAACCTCCCAGGAGGCCGCGGTCTCGTCAGGTCCCAGAGTGGCTCCTCCCCTCCGTGGAGGGGAGACTGTCCGAGCCACCCTAAGGCGGTCCCTGGGGTCCCTCGGGTCACTGCTTGGCCTTCTTCACGATGGTGCCCACAGCAGAGATAACGGTGGTCTTAGAGCCGCTGGCGCTGGTGGTCACGGTGACGACAGCTGGCAGGGTGGCCGTGGTGGTGAGGATGGTGGGCTGGGCTATCGTCGTCACCGGGATGGCCGAGTCCCACTTGCTCTTTCTCTTCTGGGCATCTGGGGATGAGGCCAGGGAGAAGTCAGGACCCACCCAGGCCAGTGGTCCGAGACCAGGGAGCAGAAACGGCAGGCCGCAGCCCCAGGAAGCCGAGGGCAGCTGGGGAGCCGGAACCCACCCCAGGCCCAGAGCTCTGCTCCCGCAGATAAGGCGGAGAGGTGGGGCGGAGCCGCCCGTACCTGCGACGGCTGTGCTGGCCGTGGTGGTGGTGGTGGCCGTGGCGTTGGTCGTGGTGCCTTTCTTGGTGCCCGTCACAAATTCAATCTGGGGGCGAGAGGGACGAGTGTTAGACCTGCGCACAGCGTGCATCCACGTCTTTTTGCCAGCTGTCTGCTCCCGGGGGACAGGAGGCAACTTGGCACCGCACAAGGGAAGCGCTGAGAACCAGCTCTGACTGTTGAAGTGGGGGAGGCGTTGGAGACGCGCCTAAAGAGGACTGTTACTCCTCTGAAGAGAGCTTCCCGCAGACACTGGGTCCCTCCCGCCATGGCCATCTCTTGGCGTGCTGGGGCACCCCTGCCCGCCCAGGCCCCGCCCTCACACCTCGGGGGAGGCGGTGCCCGTGCGCACAGGGGAAGGACAGCTCCGGCCCCCAGGTGCTGCAGACACGTCCCTGCAACAAGCCTGGGGTTTGGGAAGGGGGAAGGAGAGAGAGTCGGGAAATTCAATCAAGGGTTAAGAATGAGGACCCCTGATTGCCCAAGCACCAGCTCCCCGAGGGATTAACCCTGTGGCCCTGGGGAGGGGGGGTGGGGGACACACATCCTGGAGGCCACACGTGCTGCAGGAGGAGGACCAGGCTAAAAACGCAGGTGGAAGGGCGGGCATCCTGCGGCTGTGTTCTCGCCTCGAGACTCCGGTCAGAAAGGGCACAACCCAGAGGTCTCGGTCTCACGGCCAAGTTTCCGTCCCGTGAAGGACACAGACCAGCGGCAAGCAGCACGCTCAGGATCCTGATGGGAGGGGTCACCTGGCCACAGGACGTACACGGAAGCACTCAGGCGGGCAGAAGAGGCCAGTGCTGGAAGCCAAGAATGGCACAGACCAGAGTGCCCTGGGAATACGGAGGAACACGTCCGTACTTCCTCCGTTCAGGCCGAGGAGACCGCCGATGGGCCCAAAGGGAGAAAGCCCCCAGGGCTTGGCAGCTCTAACGGTGTGTGTGGGGGGGAGGGGACATGACGCAGCCAACATTGAGACCCCGAAACCAAGCGGAAGCAGCCCGGGAAGCGTCTTCAAGCTGTCATGGAGGCTTAAAATCCAGCACATCTAAGGCTGCTCAGAGTGTCACTGGGTGATGAACCAGCGGTGGGGGTGGGGTGGGGGTGAGGGAAGCCCCCTGGCTCAGCTTGCAGGACCCATGTACCCCAGACAGCTGCCCCCTTCATCAGGATGTCCACCCATCACTTACTTTGGTTCGCTCCTTTTTGGCCTTTTCCAACTTGTCCATTTCAATCTTTTGGGCTTTGGCTACGAAGACAGGACAAGCAGTTACAGAGCAGTGGATTAAACAAGAAGATTTAACTCAGGCCAAAGAACCCCGGACTGCTGCCTGCCATTCTCCCTGGGCTCCTGTTTGCAGCAGCTCTTTGTGATGGGTAAAGTCATGAGCCAGCCCTCAGCCAGCACAAAGCCGGGGTTTCACACTCCAAAGGCCCTGAAGCTGGGGCTGTGCACCCCATCTGGAGGGTGCAGCCACGGGGGAATGCTGGCCTAGGGTAACCACCTTCTCAGCAATTAGGATCTTAGATTTACATTGTTTCTTTTCTGGCCTAGCTGCACGGCACGTGGGATCTTAGTCCCTCGACCAGGGAATCGAACTCGAGCCCCCTAGAGCGGAAGTGCGGAGTCTTAAGCACCTGACCACCAGAGAAGTCTCTGGATTTTTAGATAAAGCACTAGCATTGAATTCAAATTAAAGCAAGACAGAACTTATACGGGCCTAACAACACATACCGACAGGCCGTATCTGGTGGCCCACAGGCCGCTGGTTTGGGACCTGGCACCCGAGGGAGCGGGCCCCTGCACACAGCTCTGCACTCCCGCTGGCCACCTGCCTGGGACCCGCCCACGCCTGCTCGGCCGCCTCTGTGCACCTTCAGACCTCGTTCGGACACGGCGTCCTCCATGAGGCCGCCCACCCTCCCCCGGCCCTCAGTCAGGTGGCCCAGCCTGCATCCTCATCACCCCGCTCGTTACTGCTGGAATCACTCCTTTGATCCTGTCTTCTTCACTGTGTTGGAAGCTTCTTAAGTCAGGGACGGGGATCTGGATGGTTCAAGGCTGCATACTCAGCTCCTCAGACATCGCCGAACACGGAGGAGACCCTGAAACCTGTGTTGCCTAGTGACTGGAGAGACAGACAGATGGATGGGTGAGCGGGCAGATGAACGGCTACCCACCTAATGCCTCATAGTAGGAGTCTTCAGACCAGCCGTGGGGGTCAAACATATCCTGAAAAAGAAAAGTTCAGAGTTGCAGAAAGGGCCAGTAAATAGAAATGACTCAGAAACCACATGCTTCTCCCCAAGTCTTTCCATGGATCTTCCTGGCCTGGAGTCTCCTGCCTCCAAGGGCAGGGAGGCACAGCTGCTATCCCGTCTCCAGCCAACCCTTCTTAGGACACTGAGGGCAGAGCAGCACTGTGGACGGGCTGACGTACAGGGCACGGCGAGCCCACGCTAGCCCCTAACCCACAGGGCACGGCGAGCCCACGCTAGCCCCTAACCAACAGGGCACGGCGAGCCCACGCTAGCCCCTAACCCACAGGGCACGGCGAGCCCACGCTAGCCCCTAACCAACAGGGCACGGCGAGCCCACGCTAGCCCCTAACCCACAGGGCACGGCGAGCCCACGCTAGCCCCTAACCCACAGGGCACGGCGAGCCCACGCTAGCCCCTAACCCACAGGGCACGGCGAGCCCATGCTAGCCCCTAACCCACAGGGCACGGCGAGCCCACTCTAGCCCCTAACCAACAGGGCACGGCGAGCCCACGCTAGCCCCTAACCAACAGGGCACGGCGAGCCCACGCTAGCCCCTAACCCACAGGGCATGGCGAGCCCACGCTAGCCCCTAACCCACAGGGCACGGCGAGCCCACGCTAGCCCCTAACCAACCAGAGGCCCCGGGGCTCAAACAGGAGCGATGGGGACGGCTCTCCTCTGCTGGCACTGTGCCACACGGACCTTTCAGTGGTTCCAGGTTGAAGCCAGTGGGGAGGGCACAGGGCCCTGGGTCCCCTCCCTCACGCCCCGCCTCTGCAGGTGGCACGTACTTTTGGATAGTTGGTGCCGAGTTCATCAATCGCGCAGAACTGGATGAGCTTCTCATAGATGCTGAAAGAACAAAACCACAAGGCGCTAAGCGAGCCAGAGGCCCGTGGCCCTGGGTAGCACCAGATTTCAAGAGATCAGAACCATTTAGCACTTGGGTGCAGACCAAGTCTTTAGCCCAGCTGAATTGTTCTAAGCAAGTTTCCAGGTGGGAGGGCAAATGTCCATTGACTTGACGTTAAAAGTCACTTCTGGCCTTCCAACCTTCCACAGAGAAGGACTGGGGCTGGCGGCCAGAGCGAGTATGGTGGCAAGATGAGGTTTCAACTGGACATCAGACCTTTAGTCTGTCGGGGTGGGTTGGGGCCTCCCCATTTAGGCCCACAGGAGCAAGGGCGGCTCTTGCCTATCGGCATACGAGGCTCTTTCCTGGGTGTGTCACTTGCTTGAACGTTGGACGTAGTGAGACCCAGACACAGGTCTGTTGGTCAAACCTGCATACAGAGTCAACAGCTTTCTCGAGGTAGGAGGACCTGTGGTGACCATGAGACAATCCTCTCCTCGTACAGCCGAGGACACTAAGGCCTCAGGAGGTCATGAGCTCCAGGAGGACAGAAGGAATGAGAGCCCAGACAGACCCCGCCCAGCTCGTGTCTCGTGGCTTCCCCTCTGCACGTGCTGCCCGGCTCTTCAACGGTAGATGAAGCCTCAGCGAGGTTAACGCAGTTAGGGTGATGGTCCCTTTGGGCTCAGCTGGGATCTGAGCTGGGCCCCTCTCTGCCACCTCTCTGGGGCCATTCTTGTCCCCAGTCCAACATCACCCCTCCGACCGCCCCCCTGCTGGCTCACAGAAAACTCACCTGGGATTCCGAAATTCCTTCTTCCTCTGGATGATGTAGTTCATGTCCATTCCCTCCTTTATCTTCCGCTCATACAGCTTCTGGATCTTGTCCTACGGAAGAGAGACAGAAGGACGACAGTGACGGAACCTCTCACAATCCCAGCCTGTGGTCACACGTGCTGTGGACATGAGGATGTGGGGGAGCCGTGAAGCCTTGCTCTGGCCAGACGGTCTTCCTCCACCCAGCGCAGACGAGACAGATGGACACCAGTCTGCTTTCGCTGTGCTTTCTCCTGATCCCCTCTGGGTGGTCAGCAGCGGGAGGAATAAGAAGGTGGAGCTAGAGAAGCCATGGAGAAGACAGTGAACAAACTCCCACTTGGGATCAGCTGCTGAGTCATCTGAAGAGAAGCTTCAAGAGTGAGCGTTGCTAGGCGGGGGCTGAAAATGCTGGATTTTAATTTTAACACGGGGTTAAGACCCAGCAGGAGACCTGGGAAGGCAGGAGGAAAGGTGTCACAAGCCTCCCCAGTGTCCTCTGAGGGGAGACTCACAGCTGGCTAGTCCTTGCCACTTTACCAAGAGGCACTGCTGGGGGTCAAGAGCCTGTTTCTCATCCAGTTTCCCCTCAAGCCCTGCTCTGGCTCAATGGGAAACCAGAGAGCCACTGGGCAGGGTCCAGGCCAGCATTATAGGTGGCCCCAGGTCCACGGAGACGATGCCAGCAACAGATGGTGTCAGAGCTGCCTGGGGAGTGAAGAGGTCCCAGGAACCCGAGCCTCAGGGCAGGGCCACCTCTGAGGAGGAGCAGGCTTACCCAGCGAGGCTGGTGCTGGCCCAGGGCAGGGTCTCTTGGCAGCCTCCCCCACTAGTGGCAGCTAAACACAGACTGTCCAGGAGGAAACCACCTGGGGTACTCTTCACCTGCAAGAGGAGGTGGGGGGGGGTGTGTCTGAGCGAGGTCCTCTGGGACATCAGGAAAGGTGACCCACTCCTGTCAGGAGTCAAGACTGCCCAGGGGAAGCACTGAGTTGGGGAGAGAGGTCTGTAACACATTTGCCAGGAAGAGAGAAGCCGAGCGCATGCCTCCATGTCCTCTCTCTGCGGGTGATGGAGGCAGGCCTACCCAGAAGGCTTGGCAGGTGGAGGCACAGCTGTATCTTACAGATGACTTTCCTGCGTGCCCTCGGCTGTCAGCCGGGTTCTCCTATCTCAGGGGAACTAAAACCTTTGCTCAGTGTCATGGTTTCTGCCACTAGCAGGATCTAAAAAGGAGAAACATTTTTATCTTGAAGACTGGGGCTGGCTATCTCTGCCTGGTGACTGCTGGACTGTCCTTGCAGGCTGTGGATTGTTGCCTGGAGTGTGAGTGACACAGGGCCGGGGGTGGGGTGGTATGCAGCGGTGGTGGGGAGACAGCAAAGGGAAGGGATTTCCAGGAAGAGAAGGGACTGTGCGCTGCAGCCCAGCCCCGCTCAGCACCCACCCAGGTCGCTACATTCCCAGCCGCAGGCCCCATTAGTCACCCATCCGTCAGCATGTGCGAGGGCTTGGGGCGTAGCAAGAGGCCCCACTCCGGGGCAGCTGTGGGTGTCTGCCCTACTCTCACAAGGTGCCCTTCAAAGGGGAACACGCAGAGGGACAAGGAGAAACGGCCACCAAGGCTGACAGGGAGGACTAAGGCCAGGACTAAGGCCAGCCTGGGGGCCTGCTCCCGAGGGAGTGACTGTACTCCAGGCTCCATCTCTGCAAGACAGGGATCGTCAGACAAGAAGCCGATGAACTGCCATTTCAGGAACATGAGGACTGACGCATGTGCATTTACATACTCGTGTATTTGCACTCCTACTCGTTTCTCTTACACTCTGACGACCCCTCAGGTTCTCGGCCAGGGTCCTTGGGAGACACTCCCTGGCTCCGGGATGCCCACAGAGGCGAGCTGCTTGCTCTGCTGGCAGTGTCCCGGGGCAGGCGGGCGCCCGGCTGAGGCTGCAAGGCAGCCGGGGGTACGAAGCTGGCTCCTGCGAGCGGCCTAGGCCAGGTCACCAGGACTGCAGGCTCCTTCCCACCTGGGCTGTTTCTTTTCCAGGAGCCGCTTAAAGTCAGACCCAGCCAGACACCCGCCCAGACTTCCTCGTCTGCACGGGCCTCAGCAGCTGAGCGTGCGCATACCTGTAAGTGGTTAGAGCACCGGCCGGGGGGCTCTGGAGGGATCTTGATCTCATCAGGTGACATGTTCCGGACTCTTTCAGAAAAGGAGGCTGCGGAGAGAACAGAGGAGTTCTGTGGGTGCGAGGGAGGGTCAGGGTGGGGGCCCGACGTGGACAGTAAAATACCGTCCAAGACAAGAAAGGCACGCAAAGTGCTCAAGGAGGGCCACACTGTAAGATGGTTAAGACAAGGCGTACGGAGTGGCCCTCTGAGGGTGCATCTGGCTTGAACTCAAGTGACCTGAAGGAGCCAGTAGGTGAGGTGGGGCAAGCAGTTCAGGCAGAGGGCATGAGCGGCCACATCACAGCCGTGCCCAGAGGAAAGACTGTGTCCTGGGGGCGCTGGTGAGTGCTTAAGGCCAGCTGGGAGGTGCGAGGGGCAGACCCACGACTCGCAGCGTCTGTCCCTTTCTCTGGTGTGAATTCTCCCGTCACGGCCAATCAATTTCAAGCTACCAACGTGAAGTCATGAGCTCAGGGATGGGAAGACACTCCGCACACGGCTCTGCCTCCCACAGGTTCTGCTCCTGAAACACCCTCCCAGGATCCTGGAGACTCAGAGCTGCTTGGTGCTGTCCTTCCACCTCAGGCTCTGCTGCCCAGGGTCCACCAGAAGCTCAGGGTTCCCTGGGCTTCGGGACTCAGCATTCAAAACTGCTTTGTACATAAATGACATCTATTCAATACAAAATGACCTGCTGGTTATTAACTTCGGGTCCTTCAGCAGTAAACCAATCAACCTCACTCGGTCCACTTCATTCCTGGGAACAAAAGGCCTGATTCTGAAGTGAAGACCCACAGTCCCCAAGGGACAATTCCCTTGGCGATGTGCCCCTGCCCACCCAAGTTTCTCTCTCCCTCCATTCCCCTCCCTGCTGCCTCCGGCCACCCTGGCAACTGCAGAGTCGTGCTCTGGATCACCCAGACAATGCGCTGCTTGTTTTAAGATTCTGTTTGTGCTTTTTAAGACGTTTGCTCATGAAAAGGGCTATACAGTGAGCAAACAGCAGGCGGAGCGGGGTGGGGCAGGATGAAGGCAAAGAATGAACAACCCAGCACCACTAACACCCAGCAAGTACTCACTGGGTACCCAACATGTGCCGGCCCCGGCGGGACTCTCTCAGCCCCGAGTGGCCACCTAGACTGCCGGGGGATGGCCAGGTGAGCCTTTCCCTTCTCTCCCGGGGCTGGATTAATATTTTCTTAGCAGATAAGGTACTTTGATTTATGCTTTGACCTTCACTTCTCAGCTGCTGCCAAACGACACTGCACACACTGAGGCTGGAGCTCGAGCCCAGGGACCATCTCCTAACAAGGCTACACGTGCCGATTCTCACTGTTGGTGGAGTCTCCCTGGACGTGCCCCAGGAACAGGGCATAGGTATGTTGTCCTGCTGTGGACCGAGACACCAGTGCAGTCTGGGAGCACATTCCACCATGGGACCGTGTGCTTCTCTTTGCTCAGCCCCTTCCGTCTCCTGCCTCCTGAAGCAAGGGTGACACCTTGATCTCATCCCAACTTCCTCCTTCCTCCTAGCCCTGGGAGAGGCAGGAGTGCTAAGCCCGAGGCGAGGCTTGAGCAGGCTGCAGAGGCCGGCTGAGAGCAGAATTCCCCGGGCTGTGCTGGTTCTCGTGTTTTCTAAGCACAGCACCAAAAGCCAGGAGGGCCAGGGCAGGCTCTGGTTGCACAGCAGGGGGAGACGGCTTCCCTGGGGTGGGGAGTGTGTGTGTGCACGTGACAGAAACAAAGAGTGCCCTTTGGCATTTGCCAGGAAAGCCTTTTGGAAAAACAGGGTGTGACGCTGTTGCCATTAGCAACCCAACCACCCAAGTGGTACACAGTGTGACGGGAGGGTGTGGGGGGGGTGTGGGGGGGTCCTCCCAAGCTCGTGGGCTAGAACTGGGCTGGGAACAAGAGAGTTCCTCTCGGGAGCAACAGAATGAAGGGACACATTCAGGAAACACGGTAAAAGTTTCTCTCGCAGATTTCAGGAGCAATCTTCCTGCAACTTCGTCCTTCCTAAGTCTCAAAATGCATCTAAAGCAGAAGAAATGAGACCCGCACATAGGGCTGTTGGCGCTGCCACAGAGCCTCAAATCAATCTCCCTGGAAACACATTGAGACGCGTGTCCAGGCCCTCGGGGGCAGCCCAGGCCTGTGGCTGCTCTGGGTCTGCGGGGGTGTTCTGGGCGGGCACCGTGCTCAGGCTCTGAGAAGCCTGTGTCAGCGTGATTCACCCTAAGTGCACGCCTACCTCACAAAGCAGCACAGGTATCCACAGCTGCCAGGCATGGATCTGCACAGGAGTGGCTCGTCAGCGGGGTGTTTGTAACGGCGGGAGTGAAGGCATGCCTGGCGGGTGCTGTGGGGCTGGAAGCAGGAGTGGGTGGAGTTTCTGCCTCAGCACAGACATGGAGAACTCAAGTGGATGACCATCCTGGGGCCACTGTTCCAGGGCCGCTGGCAGGGCACCTGGAGGGGAGGACCGGGTGCCCGCTCCCCTCTGTCAAGCAGCTACAGAGCTGGGGAGCCCTTAGCCAGCTTCTCTGCTCCCCTTTGCTCCATTAAACCTGGGCCTGTCTACACAAGTGAAAATGCTGTCCACACCAGTGGAGCAACCTGAGTCTTCCATCCAGAGGCATGAATGGAAGAAGCTGAGCCCAGGCAAAGGTGGGGACAACTAGGGCGCCATGAGCGGAAACCACTCTGCAGGTCGTCCACCACCTCCTCAGTGAGAAATGGGAAGAGGAATCCAAACTAGGAGGCTTCAAGTTTCACCCGTGTTCTTTATGGGGGAATGGATTCAAGAAACTGTGGTGTAACCCCACAATGAAATAATATTACCAATTTAAAAAAAAAAAAAAAACTATGGATATGCTCAAAAACATGGAAGGGTCTTAAGAACATTATGGGGAAATGAAGAAGCCAGACCAAACAAACAAACAATGAGTCCATTTGTATTAATGGTTCTTGGGCAGGGGCAGTTTTGCCCCCAAGTTGACATTTGGCAATGTCTAGAATCATTTTTCATTGTCATATTTGGCAGGGAGAGGAGGCTGCTATTGGTCTCTAGTGGGTGGAGACCAAGGATGCTGCTAAAACACTACAACGCACAGGCCAGGCCGCCACAACAAAGAATTGTCCACCCCAAAATGCCAGTAGTGCTGAGGCCAACAAATCAACCAATTTATGAGAAACTCTAAAGAGACAAAACTATAGTGAAGAAAAAGCGATCACTGCCTGCCCGAGGCCCGAGGAGGAAACGTGTGCAAGGGGACGGGCAGAGGGAACACTCTACAGTCACAGAGACGTCCTTCGCCAGGACTGCGGCGGGGGTTCCGCTCTGTGCGCTACCCCTCACAAAGCTGCTTTCAAACAGTGACAAGGAGAGGAAAAGTCAAAGCTGTTTGTGGACGAGTTTGGGGCCCAGACGGCTGAAGCCCACTCACAGGCCTGCCAAGTGAGCGCTGGGGGCATAAGCGGAGAGCGCTGTCTGGCTGCGTTCCTGGGGGGCAGCTCCGCCCCTGCCGTCCTGCAGTCAACAGCAGGGACAGGGGAGGACGAGGCTGCGGTCCAGGGCCGGCCTCGCGGACAGCCTGCTCGGGGAAGGCCGCGGCTTCCCGGGGGCTGCGCTCTGCTCCCTCTGCCCGTGAAGCCAACTGCGCTGCCCCTCCGGTGCCATTTCCCAAAGATCAGGCTCTTTGGTTTTAGGAAAATATGGGTTTGTTTTTTAATAGGAGAAGAAAGACTCATACCCCATTCACCAGCAAACCTGGGGCTGAAGGGCAGAATCCCGCCGAGCATCTGGGCTGCTCCACGTGGTTAGGGCCCTACCCAGTCCTCCCCTCAGGAGACAAATATCACGAATGGTGTTCCCAACAACCAGAAGGGGTCCCCACCTGCCAGCCCCGGTGAAGGCATCCTGTCCAGAAAAAGGACTGGCTGGAGGGGCTGTTGGATACAGCATTTCCAGCCTGGGGCTCCCCTGGGCAGGGCGAGTGAGCCGCAAAGGCGCCATCTGGGAGAGGGGAGCAGGAACTCCGCTTTGTGAGGATTAATGGAGCGGGCGGGAAGAGACGGGCAGTCTCGCCATGGAGAGGGAGGGCCAACCCCCCACAACGTGAGGCTGGGCCAGGCCTTGGGGGAGCCTTTGCCGGATAAAGTCCATGGCAGAAATGAAAGGAGTCAAGAGACCTTCTGAAAGGCTGAAGAGGATGGGCTAACGCGGGGCTGGGATGACACGTGGGCCGTGTTCCAGAACCATAACCACCCTGGCCAGTTGCGCAAAGGGCCCCAGGCCCCAGGGCTGGGAGGCCTGCTCCCTCCCGGGGACACAGCAGCAAGCCAGCAGAGGCCACATTTGCGCCCCGAGCCCAGGAGCACGCCAGCGGAGACGCGCGGGGGTCCAGGGCCGGAGGACGGGCGCCGGGCACAAGGAGGGCAAGCTCCCCGCTGGAGGGGCCCGAGTCCCTCCTGACAACACCGGCAGCTGACCAGTGGCCATGAAATGCACCATACAGTTTTCAAAGAGGAACTGTTCCCTGGGTGTCTCACCCAGATGTCTTAGGAAATGCCAAAGGTCCTGAGAGTCCGAGTCCGGAGACAGGCTCTCAGCTGAGCTGCTGCCTCGGATGAAGCAGAGAGAAGCCGCCTGCGTAGCTGGAAGCCAGCTGACTCTGGGTGAGGCTCAGAGACCTGCCCCTGGCACCCTCCATCCCAGGGTACTCACCAACTAATTCCTGGGGATCTCGCTTTTCTACTTCCGGGTTATCCTGCAAGAGAAAAAGAGAAACACAAGGAGTAAGTGCAGGGCTCCAGACCCAGAGTCACTCTCCTCAGACACCACTCAGGATTTTTAAGGAAGGAGAAAAGGTGGAAGCATTGCAAGGAACCCACAGAGCAAGCCGACACTTTGGAGCCGACACCTCCGAATATCCCTTCTTCCTTCATCAGAGCAGCCTGGATGCTCCAGCCATCTGCTTCAGTCTCTCCTCCACGGCCTCCAGCAGTGACCAGCACCCCCAACGCTGAGGAGAGCAACCAGCAGCCAGCCAGCCATGACCTGCAAACCTGGACCCTGCCCACTGCTCCTCTGGGCCTGGCCAGTCACCTCAGAACACAGCACCTCTGCCTGGCGCCCAGGAAACAAGAGGTGGCTAGAGAATCTCAAGACCAAAACGCAAGAGACTATCTCCTCCCTAGAGATTTTTCTCACTTTCAGCTTCAGCAAAAAAGGGAGGCTTTATCACAGGGGCAGTTCATTGAACTGGGGGCAGGCAGGCCGCAGGCCTTCAGTGAGTCACACGCCGCCCTCAGGACAGCCCAGGTCGAGGCAGCTTGACTGTCTCCCAGCTCACCTGCTGGTTCTCTTTACACGGGCTCCGTCTCTCCAAAGAAAGCTCTCCCTGACCTTTCATGTAAGCCCCTGCCCCCAGCACCCACTTCCATGCCGTGTCCTCCGTTCTGGAGGTATACAGAGCCCTAGGGGCAAAGGTTTCTCATCAGACTGCTCCAGATCTCACTGCTCACAGTAAAGGCTTCCCTGCTGATCCAGTGGTTCCAATGCAGGGCACATGGGTTCAATCCCTCGTTGGGGAACTAAGACTCCCATGTGCTGTGTGTCGTAGTCAAGAAAATCCAGTTCTGGCCACGGTCACATGGGTGAGCACCTACTTTCCTCGCTTCTGCTGCCCCAAATGCACAATGGTAAAAACATACCTGCTCTCCCCATTTCTGGAGAAACCGAGCCCCTCAACACACATCGGGGTCTCAGGTGCCATGACATGGCATGATCACAGTGGCAGAAGCTGTGCTCACGAGGTTGGATCTTGTGTCCCCTCGCTTTGGTCAGTGAGGGAGGAGATAAGACAGTAACAATCGCACATGGAGGCAGCCGGGCAGTGCTGTGTATGCCACTCACACGGTGCGACCTGACACCAAGGCGACGTCTCAGAAGGCGGGCACAGGGAGGCCACCAACCCCCCACCCTCCAGGCTCCGTTCTAAGACCAGCAGTTCTTAGGCCTCTTCTCCAAAAAGTCCCTGGGACAGGCCAAAACCCCCTCATTCTTTGGAACACTGCAGCTATTCATTCGACCTGGACGGGCATAACGTCCAGGCCAGGCTGCTTAGCAACCATCACCCCCAGTCACCCACCCCCTGCCAATCAGGTGGGCAAAGCGGAGGCACCCCCGGAGGGCTGCCACACCAAATTCAGGTTGGTCATCAATCAGCTGCTCCACAGAGAGCGGGTCTCCACGGGCCCCACAACGATCCCTTTGTAGCTGTGACTCTGGGGGAACCCATGCTAAAGAGTGTGGTATGCTGGGCTGTAAAAGGTCCTTAATTCTCCCTCCAGGGGACAGCTGTCTGGGTGCTCACTGTGGGAAAACATCACTTAGGCATATCCTACCTCCCCTCTGGGGCCATCTGGCTGGGCCCACAGGGCTGATGCGTTAACTCATCAAAGGCTTCCTAGGGCTCTTTCCCAAAGCGCTGCCCTGGGCCCTTTAGAGGCCAAAATGCAGAGCAGCGAGGAAGGATGCAAGACAGCCACGTGGGAATTCTGCTGTCTGCTCCAGGCGCACAGGAAGCTGGTCACCAAACAAGCGAGGAGTCTCATTAAAGGGGAAAGGACATGTTCACACCACAAGCTCCTTGTAAGATTAAAAGGTGTGAGGCTCCCGGGCCTGCCTGTGCCCGGTGATGGGAGGTGGAGCAGGTGGGCAGAGGCGGGGATTCCTGCATTTCACAAGGGTCTGAGCTGGCTTAGCTGAGATTTGTTTAGTCATGTCTTGGGGAGAAAAAGAGATGATGGGGCAAAATCACAAACAGGAAGTCTTTTTTTCTACTTTCAGGCTTTCCTTTTTTGGCCTGGCTCCTCATTTTGCCCCAGATTTATCTTTCTATACATGCTCCCCTCCCCACATTAACCTGGTAGTTGGGTTTCAATATGACAGCTGGTCTCTGCTTTTCTACTCTCACAGCGTGCACCTCAAGTCCCATGAAACCATGGCCTCTTATTCAATTCCAAACCAGCACCCCCAGAAAGAAGTTCCGCACCCCTGCCCCTTCCCAGCTGGAACCCAGCTCCATACTATCTGCAAGCAAAGTGCATGGACCCAACTGCAAGCAAAGATTCTCCTGCCTTGAGAGAACCCTAAAGGCCAAACACCTAACTGAGCCTCCGCAGGCTGGGAGCCACAAACTATGGCAAGGTTTTGGAATCTGTGCTTGTTTAGATCCCCAACTTGCGTCAGAGGCGCCTGCGTTTGATTCCTAAGGCCCTGGAGAACCAAACAATGGGACTCTGTGCCTCCTGGTGGCCACACCTCGTTACGCTTTAGCAGGGAATTCCTCTGCCCTCTGATGTGGACAAGTGGGTTGTGGGTCTGTTGAGCACCTGGGCGTGTGGCGTGGTACCAAGGTGCCCCTGAAGAAGAAAGCCAATGACCCAAGTGCTTCCACATCCAAAAGGCGCCTGACCCCCCCGCTGTCCCAACGTGAGCCTGAGAAGGGCTGGACTACACCCCACAAGGACCTGGAGCCACAGCAACACATGTTCTCAGAATGGAGTTGGCTGCAGGACACTTGGGATACTGAAGAAAGCCCAGCAAGGAAGGAGAGTCAGGGCGTCCGGTGAGACCACTAAGGACAGGCGTCAAACACCCCAGAGATGCTTTGTAGAATCACTTACGCTCAACTGTCCATCAAGGCAACTTTCATCCAATGAAAGCTGCTTTGCGGGCGAGGACGGGGCTCCATGTTCAATACAAGGACCCAGGGGGACAGTCATGCCTCAGATACCAGGAATTCAGCACAAAAATGAACGAAGTGCTCAGGGTAGTTATCTTGGAAGCCAGCCATGGTGCTGGAAAAAACAACTGATGAAGTATTTAAAAGGGCTATCTCCTTAGGAGATTGAAGGAAGGTTCACACATTAAACTGCCAGCAGTTCAAGAAACCAGTTTGACAAAACCTGCTAGAGAGAGACTTGGTATATCCTTAAAGAGGCAGGAGGGGAGCAGGAGAGGACACGAGCAAAAAGCAACAAGAACCCACTGTTCCTTTCCTTCCCCCAAAGCACGGCTTCAGAAGGCTCACAGGATACCTGCCTGGACTTGTACGAATCCACCCTCCCTGGCCTCTAGGTGGATATTCCGTTGGCCACAGAAATGAACTCGGCCTGGAGATCCAGTTATCAGACAGATGACTGTCTGCATCAGCTGGGAGGCATGAGTCCCAGAGACCTGGACAGACCTGGACGTGACAGCACACGCCCCTCAGACACCCTGGCGGGGCGCTTTTCACCCGGTTCCTCAGGAAGGTGGAGACAGGGCGTCCTGCCTGGGAGAGCACTGCACATAGCACTTCCCAGGGGAAAGACCAGGCAAATCTGGTTTCTGCTCTCCAGTTCAACTCCAGGAAAAACAAAGCAAAACAAAATCCGTGTCGTCCCACGAAGCCAAGTGAGAAAGGCAGAAGGAAAGCACTGAGGCCTCTTCTTCAGGCTGTCTACACCCCCCGTTCTCCCAGGGCTAGGTCCCGCCGCCAAGGGTGTGAGGAGGCTGCCGTGGGCTGGGGCTGTCCCTGAGGGCTGTGATCTGAACCTGACAATTTTGGCTTTGTAGTCAGTCGTGTCTGAAACTTGGAAGAATCTAACAGTCCTTTGGCAGGGGTCTCATTTTTTGGAATTACGGAATCTGGGATGCAGTTCCCCCTGCAGAGAATACAAAAGTCCGGCCACCAGCAAAACCATGACCAGAGCAGAGGAAGGAAGTGAAAACAATATGGCTCCATGACACGGGACAGCTGCCGCGTGAGCTGGCAGGTTCACTCGGCAGAGAAGAGGCAGCTCCTAGTAGCGAGGGTGCAGGTTTGTTCACAGCCAACACTTCATCAACCCTTCCGAGCCAGCCCCACAAAGCGCACTCGAAGCTCTGGGGTCCAACTTGAGACAAGGCAAGTTGGCAGCTGGATTCCGCCAAATCTAAACTCTGCCTTTTCTCCCCACGTTCAGGAGCACTAGGCACAGAGAAAACCCTCTGAGCAGAGGGCAAAGGACAGTCAGTCCCTACTCCAGGGGAAAGAATGTTCCAGACTAGGTTTTCTGGCTGATGATGCAATGCTGCATCTTAAAAGTAGGGGGCAGCTGGGGAGGCAGATCAGAGAAACAAAGCCTCCCAAATCTTCTGTCCTCTCAGACCTGGGGCTGCCCGAGCAGTTACAAAGCCCTGGTGACATCTCACTCCATGAGCAGAGATCTCACTCAAAAAGAACCCTCGCTGTGGCCTGAAGCCCCGGGCACACTCTGCTGGCCATGTCGGCCTCCTTCCCTGCCCCAGGGTCCTGGCAAGGCAGCTCCTTGGATCACCCCCTCCCCAACTCCAGCCTAGGAAGCCCCCTTTATAGACTTCAGACCTCTGCTCAAGGAAGCAGTCCTCCACCCCACCCCCACGGGGCCAACGAGGATGCCTGCCCCGTTCTGTGAGCTCACTGTCTTGTTTGCCATTGTGTTCCCAGCGCCTGCAACAGCCAGTGCCCTGCCCACAACAGGCGCTCAAACAGGGATCACACACACCCACACACAAACACGGAACACACACACACCCTACCCTCCTCCCCGCCGCCACCCACGCCTAACCAGCCAGTGGTCAGTTTTTCTTCAGTCCCGTTTAGGGTTTCAAAGCAAACATCACCCCCAGACTCCAAACCTGTTAAAGTCCACAGGTAGTTTCAATGTGTGGACTCAACATCAGAAAGCAAGGTGGCAG